TTTTTAACAAAGGTATTTTGAAATTTTATGTATTTTTGCCTTGCTGCGAAATGAGAACTGAAATAATTGAACGAGAAATCTCTCTCTAATGAAATTCGAGGAAATAAGCTTAAATTAAATGCAGTCAAAAAGTACGTATAATTTAATATTCCGTACGAGGAAATCATGTGGTGGTGTACACATCAGATTTTTAAACTATGGAATAGGTATATATCTCTTCAGAAAACGCAGAAATATATCCTTATATATTATAATATATTTATGATAAGTGGACAGTTACCAGGGCGACGATGTTTTTCAGTTACATCTGTACGTAAGGAGAGAATTAAGGAATCTTTTTTCCCAAACGGATTATAAAATTGAATTAAACCGGATTCATAAATATGTATCTCGCATAACTCACGAACGAGTAGCCTCAGAACGTTGAAATTTTGTATATAGGACTGCTATAACATGTAGCTATGCACCTCCCTTTTTGGTTGCAGTTGGAGATACGAAAAGTAAGTATATATATAATGTAAGAAAGGCATACTAGCTAAACTTAAAAGGACCTGTGAGGTCAAGAATTTTGCGCATTGAGCTGCAAACTTTGAAATAAAATTAAAAAATAAATTCTTCAAGCTATAGCCTATGAGCTATAAAGTGATATTTCGGTTCCATTGCAGAAGAGTATAAACACAAAGTAAAGATCAAATTGTAATATTTAATATTGTATCAAATTGTATATATATATATATATATATACACCCACTCTGTTACTCTGCTTGGCGAGCTGAATTGTTTAATATACGTTGGTAAATTGTGCATCTTTAGCTATAAAAATGATTGAATCATGTTATTCTTATCTTCCGGTTAAGATTTTTATGCCTTTAGTTAACTTTTGCGCAATAGTTGTAGAATTATCAACAGTTTAAAAGTAGTTTAAATGCTAAGCCTAATTTTTGTTTAACATACCAGCCACATTTGTTTACATTTGAATCTTAGAATACGTAATCAGTAAATCAGTTTCTGCACCTTGAGTGTTTTTTTGCCGAGTGGCATCAAAAGGAAACTTTCAGTTTTGTGCACCGAATATTCTGCCTTGTTGCCCGCTGGCCGAATAGCTTGTTTTTGCGTAGAAACTCTAATTTTAATTGTAAAAAATTTTTTTTTAAATTTTTTAACTGTATTTGGTGTTTTATTTTTTTAATAACTGTATACTGAAATTTTATGTATTTTTTGCCTTGCCGCGAAGGGAGAAAATTAATTGAATGCGAATCTTTGATGAAATTCGAGGAAATAAGTTTAAACGTAATGTAGCAAAAAAATGCGTATAATTTAATATTCCGTACAAGAAAGCCATGTGGTGTATCCGTCAGACATTTTTCAAAATTATATTAACTACGCAAGGTCCATAAGTAATTTTTCAGCCTATTGCGTTCTGTTGTTTAGTAAAAGTTCTTGATTTATTATAGAACTGAAATATATTTTTTAGAATCATTTTATTCTCACATAAAAATTATTTATTCTCCTCTTTTATTCTCACATAAAAAATTAATTTTGGTAAGAATAAAAATATCATTTTCTTCTGCAAGAGAATTGGGCACAAACATTTGGAACGTAGAAAGAAAAGGAAGTTAATGGAATTTTTTGCTGCCTCTGGTTAAGTGGTCCCTTTGGTTTACTTTTTCCTGAATTCGGTTTAGTAGATTTCGTGAAGAGATTATAAAGAAAATTGCCTTCGCTATCCCAGAATGAAGAAATCTGCTGAAAGATCACTTGCCTAGGAAAAGAACCATCTTGAAGTTCCCACTCTTCAGTAGTTTTATTCATTCTTATGCGCTGTAAAACTGAAGAAGTTTCTGCCAAAATAACAGTACTGCTGATTCCTGTTGCATTTACTGTATTTTCTATTCATTAAATTGTTCTATAATGTTTCAACTCAAAATAGCTCTGATGAACAAGTAATGCAATAAGCTGCATGAATTAAATTGTCTCGCTTTACTTACATTACCGGAGAATGTACTACATTTTGAATAACAGCATCCAATTATGAAAGTGATTGCCTCAAAGGCGTCTTTCTCCTTTCTTTACTAGCAATTTTGTTAAGCTAAGTTTTCATTATCGGTTTAAGATATAACCATGATAATTCGTGTATTTCTCCACTTATCTTATATAGGTAGAAATTTAAAATTTATTTATTTGAAATTTTATTGTGATGCTGACTTCAGTGCTATTCCAGCAACACTGTTTTAACCCTTTGCGCTCGAGGCGCTTTTCTGAGCACACTGTTCATTCTGAAGGTTCAGTCTCTTCTGTACGATCACTTTGGCTTCCAGATTCACTATCAATTATTCGGAATTTTCGTCTTCTTGCTCCTCTAACGTCGTCGCTATCTTTATCACTTCCGTCTTCGTTCTCACGGGCAAGCTGTCTATGTAGTGATGTAATTTCGTTCGTTATTGCCGAAAAATTAAACTCATCTTCGCTAGAAGTAACTTCTTCGTCGTGTTCCATACTATTGGGCTCAGTAACTTTGAAAAAAATACTGCGATCGGCAAGAGGTTGAGTTCGAATGTTGTCGAGACAGAGTATACACGCGGTCGCAAGTATTTTTGAGATAAGACATTTAATGAATAAGCATTTGCAAAGACAACTTTATTGAGATAAGACATCCTTATAGCTATTCAGACACTTCGTAATATGGTCTACAAAAGGCCAAGTAGATCTCTCAAGCGATATTCCTTAGGTCAAGCACAAATAAACACATCGATTGGAATGGTGCCTCTAAGGCACCGCTCAAGTTATCGCATCACATGCAGTGGTGCCTGAGAGGCACCGCTCGAGTGCAAAGGGTTAACTTCTTTGCACGAAGTAAAAGACTCATTGTAATCGAGAAAATTTTCGGGTATCATATTTCGACGAAATATCCATTTTGACAGCTCTCGACTCCATTTGAACGATGTTTCTGCGTGACATCTTCATGTACGAAAAGAATATAAGGCCTCTTTTCCCCAAAACGAATCGAAAAATGGATGCAAAAGAGATTTTTTATGACGTCTGTTGATACGTATGTGTGTATCCCGCAAAACTCAAAAATCAGTAGCCTCAGAACGTTGGAATTTCGTATATGGAACTGCTGTAACATGCCCGATAATCGACTCGCATTTCAGACGACTAGAAAACTGGACTTTCGGAGAGAACTGCCCGAGCGAAGCGATCAACAAAATATTCGGATAGGAGAGGGACAAAATGGTCATCATGTGATGACTGGCTTGGGAAGAACTAGACGTAGAAAGTCCACCAATCGTGCGTAAAATTTTCGCGATAGGAAGACAGACGAATGGAAAAAGTGTTTTCCTATAAATAATGAAATTTAAAGACAAAGTAGTTTTTAAAATTAAAAATCAGAAATGAAGTATTGATCTCATTTCTCCATCTTACAAAATTTTTTTTGAGAAACGAAAACCTCGACATAATGGCGTTCCGAAAAAAAAACTAATGTTAATGTTTTCGTTAAAAGTTAATGTTTAATTTAACTAATAAATTAATGTATATTGGGAAGCCGACAATTCTCAGAGGAAACTGTGATTGTGGCCTCAAAATCGACAGTTTTATTTAAAATTTACGGTACTTACGTAATATCTCAACCAGGTTGACGCTATTTGTACGTTTGAGTAAAAAAATATGAATAGAAAGAAAATGTACATTTATTAACTACAGATAATTTTTAATACAGTTTTTTATATTATTTTGTTTTAAAATATAAAATAGCAATTAAACCCTTCCGGTTTCGAATTTGAATAAGTTGCAGAATTATTTTTTCGGCGCAAATCTTTTGGCTATTGCTTTTAGCACTGATTGAAAAACCGTATTCGCCATAACCATGTACACGTCGACTTATTTTTACTTAAAAAAACATCCCAGAATTGCACAAAAATGGCATTGCGCACACTCTTGACTTTATCCATGTACACTGCTATTTTCTCATAAATTACAAAAATTTGCACGAAAATGCAGGAAAATTTTGTGAATCTCCACATGCTCTTTTTACAAAACTACGTATAACACGTAGGGTTGCCGTAAGTAGGGTCGCCAAATTTCGCAATTTATGCGAATTTTGGCCTGGTTGCGTTAATACGTAAGTAAGATTTGTATTGGCGCATTTTACTTTCAGTAAAATAAAAAAATACACGGTGTTTATAAATTAGTTAGGCAATTTCGTAAGTTAATAACTTCCGAAATAGTAAATGATATTAACCAGGTTAATAAAAGTTTGTTTGTAATAAAGGTAAACTTGGACTGTTTCTCTGTCTTACAACAACATGTACTTTAATTCTTTTTCCTGTAAATTACATTCAAATAAATCATGCTTTTTGCTCAACTAATTTGTCGACACCTTGTATATGTTTCAAATTTAATCAATCCCTTATTGGTTAGGGCCCGCCAGCGGCGAGCAGTAAAGTCGCTGAACACTGGTAGTTCTATCTGTGGTTTAAATCCTGGCGAATCGGCTGGCTGCATGGGTGTTTTCGCGGAATTTCCCATGTGTAACATAATGAGCCAGTTTCTCTTAGAACGTCCTCCACGAAGGCATCCCTCTCTTTTGGCAGATAGCTCTCGAGTGCTTTGCCGTAATTAGAGAAACCAAACCAAAAGTTTTAAAAACTAACCAAATCAAAAGGAATAGAGAAACTTTTTAATAACCAAAATCTTCGTTTTTACTTCTAATAATTGTATGTAATTGATGTAAACTGACATATGTTTAATTTACAACATATCCAACTGATAATTTTATGAATATTTGTAGCTTTGTTGCAATCAATAAAAAATATATATATTTTAACACCCTACATCACGTAATTGGTACGAAATTATTTGCTTTTTATGTGGTGTTACATTTTCAATGTGTTTATACTTTTTAAAATTTTTTAATGGTCAGTTACTCATTGAAGTATCAGATTATAATCTGAAGACTTCAGATGGCAATTTTCATGTTCTCTTCTTATTTTCTTAGGTTAATATGGTAGTGGTATCTGACCATGGCATGACATCGTCTGATTCCAGATGGCTAGGCATCATCAATTTGCAACAAATTATAGAGATTTCGGATATTCGTTACATGATCTACTACGGAGCAACAAGCATGATTCTTCCATATGAAGGAAAACTTGAAAAAGTAAGCTACTTAAGTAACTTCCATATAAATAGTAATTTATTAGTTAATTTTTTGATCTTCGAACGACACAAATAGAATTTTTTACGAAAAATTCTTTCTCACCAAATTTCAAGTATTTTTCATTATCTTTTAAAATTCTATAACTATTATTAGCTCTGATAATCTTATATTAGGAATAGTGACGAGAAAAAACTGTGTAGGACATGGATGCATTCACTTGATCAATGTTTAAAAATATTTTAACAGAAAACATTAGTGATAAGTCGGTACTACCGAACCGGGTATTTTGTAACGGGTACTTAGTTGTAACGGGTACTGAAAATCGGTACATCCAAGTACCCGTTACTTCAGTACCGAAATCGGTACTTTTCGGTATTCGTTACTTCTGTACCGAAACCGGGTACTTTCGGTATTCGTTACTTCTGTACCGAAACGGGCACTTTTCGGTATTCGTTACTTTTGTACCGAAACGGATACTTTTCGGTATTCGTTATTTCTGTACCGAAACGGGTTGCTTTCGGTATTCGTTACTTTGTAACGAAAAATAGGCGTCTTTTTCGGTATTTCGGTATTCGTTACTGGAGGATCGATGAGGGTTCAGCTCACTTCGGTTTTGGTACGAGGACAGTAGTATCTGGTTGTATTTGCGAAATGGTGATATGCGCTCCTTGTGTCCATGAATGGTCTGCTCCTCAGACACTTCCGTAGTTGACATGTTTTCTGATATTCAAAATCTTATTCCGTACAGATAAAATCCAACACGTGGTGACGTGGCAGAGTTCCTTCAGTGCGGAAAATCGTTAGCTGCGAATTTCGGTACTCCAAATCGTTACTAGGGCACTTCGGTACTCCAAATCGTTACTAGGGTACTTTGGTACTACAAATCGCTACTAGGGTACTCCGGTACAGTAAACCGTTACTAAAGTACTCCGGTACAGCAAACCGTTATTCCGGTATTTCGTTACTTCAGTACTCCAAATCGTTACTTGGGTACTCGGTACTTGAAATCGGTTTTCGGTACTTTTCAAAGTAACGGTTACTTGAGTAACGGGTATTTTGTACCGGGTACTTGTCTGTACCCGTTACTCTCGTACCGGGTACAAGAATGTACCGAAGTTGCCCATCACTACAAAACATTGTGTACAGTTAAGTTTTTTTTAATTACTTTAATGAGCTTGTAGAGTCATTAGATTATTGGAAGCAGGAGAAGTGAAAAATCTGCAATGCCCTCGCTGGCGTTCGAACTCTGGTTCTCTCGAATGCGCGTCGAATATGCTTCCAATTACACCATGAAAGCATGCGGAAAGGAAGGAGCAAATACCTTATAATGGAATTTATTTTGTTAACTTTACTGCTTATTGTTACGCAAAGTTTGAGCTACGTTGTAAAATAAAGAAAATAAATGATCCACTTTCATTTAATATTCAATTTCATTTAATCTTTTTATCAAGTCCCAAAAATGGATATATAATTTTAAAGTTGGATTTTATTCTCTACTTTTTAACTCCCCCTTTCTCATTTCCACGCGATTCATACCGTAGCTGGTTTCACGCGCTCGCATATTCGATTCGTTAGAGAATCGGGTTTAGCAAAATAGTTGGAAAAATAAGAGATCGGCCATTGCGCAGTGAAAGTTGAAGTGGCAAGATATGAGGAGAACGTTATGCGGGTGGTAGAAATGCTTCAGGGGGCAAATAATTCTACAAAGAGGGTGGGTTATTCAATGCACATGCACATAAAAATGTTATTCTATAAATTTGAGAAAAGGGGGTCAGAATTTAGGGTAGGAATGCACTTTTAACCCGAATGAATTTGCGGAATTAGCAGTCAGACGTTTTTACTTCCTTGTACGAAGTAAAAAGAAAGTATTGTAATAGCGAAAAGTTTCAGGAAGCATATTTCAACGAAAATATCCATTTTAACCGCTATCGAATGCAATTTAACGATGTTTTTGCGTGATATCTGTACGTAAGGACAGAATAAAAGACTCGTTTCCTCCAAAAAAAATTATAAAACTGCTTTAAAATGAATTCTGAAGAGACTTTTCCGTGGCGTCTGTACGAACGTATGTACGTACGTGCGTACGTACATATCTCGCATAACTCAAAAGCGTGTAGCCTCAAAACGTTGAAATTTTGTATATAGGACTGTTATAACATGTACATGCGCACGTCGTATTTTGGTTGCAATTGGCCGCACCAAACGTATATAAATATATTCATATATATATCCACTCTGTTGCCCGGCTCAATGATCTCCGTTTCTTTACTCTTATATATTTGTAAATTGTACATTTTTTGCTTTAAAAATGATTTAATTATGTTGTTTTTATCTTCCAGTTAAGGTTTTTACGCTTTTAGTAAATCTGCATGCAATATTTTTATAATTATCAACAATTTTAAAGTTGTTTAAGTGCCGCTAAGCCTTTTTTTATGGCGGCCATTAATTATTTACATTTGAAACAGCAGACTAGTGGATTTGTTGCCAATCTAGAGAAACTTAGCTTCGCAACAACAAAGATAACGCCTTCATTTATTTCTGCCAATTAAATCATGCTTAATGCTTTCTGGAATTTTTTCGAGGAAATAAGTGTTTAAGATTTACTTCGTAATATTTAATATAGATATTTTGAGTTTTTTATGTATTTTTGCCTTCTCGCGAAGTTAGAACTGAATTAATTGAATGAGAAATACTCAATCGTCTGTGGAACACTGTTTCTTTTTTGTTTTATTTGCTTAATTTCTTTTATACATCATTCTAGTTTTATTATAGTATTTGAATAGAACATGTGGCATAGAACATTAGATAATTCTATTCTTTAAATGATATCAATTTTGTGCATTCTGAGTTATAATATGAACGAAATATAATACTGTTAAGTGAATCTAGCGTCAGAGTGTCGCTATGGTAAACAAATACTATAGTGAATTTTAAAAAATGCATTTATTCTATATGTGGTTTATGCGCTTGTCGGCGCATAACCAATAGTTTCAAGTAGATTTAATTCAATCCATATAAGTTTAATACGAAATGCAAGAAAAAATTCGTATAATTTAATATTCCGTACAAGGAAGTCATGTGGTGTATACATCAGATTTTTTCTTTTTGTAGTCATTTGAGGCCGTTATTTTGAAGTGAACATCGAAGGCTTTAATAAATCGCATTTGCTTTAGTGTAAATATAGTTGATCTTGTGTTTCTTTAACTAATAAATAAGGCTCTTGCCAAATGAAACAAAACCAGGGCTGGTTTCAAATGCAAAGTCATTCAGTTTGCGAAAGAAAGCGTGCTGTAGCAAGTGTTTGGTGTTGCGTGAAAGCTCTTTGAGTGGAGGAAAAATGTAATCACGATAACTAATATGCCAAATTATAAATGCTCTCTGCGTTAAGAAGTAACGAAATGGCCTATTCTAGAAGAAAGTGTTGCGAACTGGGTCCTAAAGACTTGCCAGATCAGATTAAATGTAACAAGAAACAGCGTACGTTTATTTGCCTTAAAGTGGGAAAAAACGAATGCAAATGAAATTGAAAACTTCAAAGTAATTTTAGTTGGTGCAGTTGATTTATGGTACGGGATAATTTAGTTTTGCGAAGGGGAAAAAAGTTTCGCAAAGCTTTCGGAAGATTTGTACAAGAAATTATAAATTTCCAGAAGGATGTTATCGATCTACGAAGGCACAAAATTATGTATTGTCACATATTGGAAATATGGACGAAACCTCAGTAATATTGGAAATATGGACGAAACCTCAGTAATATTGGAAATATGGACGAAACCTCAGTAATATTGGAAATATGGACGAAACCTCAGTAATATTGGAAATATGGACAAACCTCAGTAATACTGGAAATATGGACAAAACCTCAGTAATATTGGAAATATGGACAAAACCTCAGTATATGGAATATGGACGAAAATATTGGAAATATGGACGAAACCTCAGTAAATATTGGAAAAAATGGACATTGACGAAAACCTCAGTAATATTGGAATATGGACAAACCTCAGTAATATTGGAAATATGGACAAAACCTCAGTAATATTGGAAATATGGACAAAACCTCAGTAATATTGGAAATATGGACAAAACCTCAGTAATATTGGAAATATGGACAAAACCTCAGTAATATTGGAAATATGGACAAAACCTCAGTAATATTGGAAATATGGACGAAACCTCAGTAATATTGGAAATATGGACGAAACCTCAGTAATCTTTAATATGATACGAAATAAAACCATTGATGTGAATGGAGAAAAAACAGATCATAATAACATAAGAACAACAGATCACGAAAAATTTCCCGCATCGAACGGTACAAAGCGAACGGTTAGTGGTTAAGTTTAGCAGACGGTACAAAATTAAAACCAATAATTGTTTTTGTAAGGCTGCTATCACACGTCAGTTTGTTTCGGAAGAACAACTGTTTGGAATAATTTTTCTGCTTTGTCACAACAGCCAATGACCATAGATCGCTTTGTGGCTAACACCGGGGAAACTGGTTCCCCATTACAAACGAGCTGATAGCTGATTGGTTGAAAACGAACAACTTGCAATTTTTTTTGGAAAGGAAGGAAAAAGTCGTACGTCTTTCTTTCAATAGTAAACCAGGCAGAAAAATTGTCCGAAATAGTTGTTCGTGTGAAACAAACGCCGTGTGATATGGGCCTAAGAAAGGCTATGCCCGAAATGCAATTTCCCAAATGGTGCTTTCATTCGTGTTCACGAAAACAGATGGACGGACGAAACGGTGTGAAATTGCTGATAAGAAATATATTGCAAAAGCGTCCTGCTGCCTTAACCCTTTGCCTACTAACAGGACATACGTTCCACTAAAAATTTAAAAATGACTGCTGAGTTAAAAAGTACTTAGAATCTCCTGAATGTTGGGAATCATCTTCTAACAGTTGGAAAATGAAGACGCCGCTGTGTTTGTTGTACACAAATGAACATACAGAAAAGAACAAGTAGGAGTTGCCCAATGTGTGATGATGGATTAT